GCCATGACTCAGAGCCATCTCTGGGCACCAGCCCTGACACCTGAGTCAGTCTGACCCTGTGGCAGTGGGTCTGCCCCTGCAGCCATCCCCAAGCCCTGAGGCAGTCTGGAGGGTGATTGGGCTATTCTGACACCTGGGACCAGCCCTCCAGCCTGCCACCTAAGTCCCAGGCAGGGTGGGAGGCCCAAGGCTCCTGGACATGCCTCATCTCTTTGGTATCACAAGAGCACTGTGAGGATTCATTTCCCAGTGACCACTCCACTATCAGATGGAAAAGGGCACCCTCTGGAAACTCCTCCATCCCTGGAAGATGATGGCTGCAAGGTGGGTGCAGGAGGGGTCATTCAGACAAGGCCCTAAGTTATCCTTGTCTCTCTCCTGCCCGTGGATGGTCCTTGGCTGCTGCTTGGAAGCATATCCTGGAGCCTTTAAGAGCAGAAGGTGAGGGCTCTGTGACTCCTGCTACTTCTAGAATCTCTGGGCTCACACATCTTCCTGGGTTGGGTCAGGGGCCAGAATGCATGGGCTGTGAATATATTGCTGGCCTATATTGCTTCCCATTCCCTTGGTGCCTGGCACAGAATTGAGGCTGTCTGCTGGCTGACACTGCCTTTTCCTTGCCAGGATGAGGGGTGAGGAAGGTGGTGCTGGTTGAAGTGGTCCTCTCCTCCTGGCCTGCACAGTCAGTGAGGAGGCAGCCTTCTCTCCTGGCCTAATCCTGGCTGGTTACTCACGACGTACAGGTGGGTTTGCTTGTCCTGGAGGCTCTGCAAAGCTGCCATCATCTTCATCGGGCTTTTCTTCTTGACTCTGGCTACTGGAGGTCCCCTGCCTTTTTTTCTAGGCACAGGGACTGAGTTACCATTTGAGGACTCACCAGCTTCCTCTGTGGGCAACTGATATGAAAGGAATGCAGGTCGAGTTTCTAGAATGTGCTGTCTTTGTCCTCCATCTCGGCACCTTGGTAGCACTCGAGAAAAAATGGAAACCATTAATTTCTGTGGTAGCAGATAACCCCAGTAAGTTGCAGAATTTGGTCATTCCCACAAGAATGTTTGACAGAATTGCTTGGGAGGGAGGGTAGCCATCAGACTGGAAGCGTCTGGAAGAATTTCATGGATACACCTGAGAAGACCCTCGAGGACAGGTGGGGTCCGCAGGTGCAGTGGAAGGCAGGCCACCTCTGTGGCTATAGCCTGAGAACAAGTTGCGTTCCCGGAGTGGCTGGTTGTTCCATTTGGAGCCACAGCCAAGGTGTAGAGATGTTGGAATGAGCATCCTGATCTTGCACTTCTTGTGCAGTGACATGCGGGAAGCAGACAAAGAATGAACACTGTGGGATAAAACGGGGTCTGGGTGCCAATTGTGGGCAGCATCAGTGCCAGGGTCAGAAGGAGTCAGAAGGCGGCCTCTCCTAAGTTCTCTGCTCATGGGAAGCCAGCTGAGATCTCTGAGGCTGTTGGGCCTTTTACTTTAGGAAAATTAATTAAAAGTCCGTACTTTGTCTCTTCTGGTTAACTTGAATTCCTTGTGGAGAGGACTTAGCTGAGATGACTCCACCTGGAATTCTTAGCTCTTGGGCCTCAGCACGGTTTCCTCTTCAACAATTATTCTTTCCACATCTTGGAATTTAGAAGGTGTCAAGATGTGACACTCATTCCCATCCCTCCCCCGCCCCTCAACCACCCTGTGCAGATCTAAGGCTAACAGGACCGTGGACCTTTTTTAAGGAACGATGCTGATCAAGGTGAGCCATTTTCTTCTATAAAGGGCAGAGAGTAAATATTCAAAGCCCTGTGGGCCATAGAGTTTCCGCCTTTACTACTGAACTCTGCCACTGCAGTGGGAAAGCCGTAAATATGCATGAATGAATGAGCGTGGCTGTCTTTTAGCAAAACTTTATTTATAAAAATAGGTGGTGATCCGGATTTGGCCGGCCTCTCATAGCCTGCCGACTGTGAGTGTAGACTGTAAAACAGCTTGGGTCCTAACCCTCTTTTCAAGCCACCTTACATCTTGGCTCCCACACTGGTCTGTCACTGGTCTTGCTGCCGAGATTCAGAGAGGGGGCTAATGCTGGCTACTCCTATCCCCCGAAGGGTGTCAAAGCTGATTACACCACCTTGACAAACCTACTGTCTTGGTCCAAGCGCCGACTGAGGAGTGAAATAGAAAGCTGAAACATGCCCAGAGATGTTGACTTTAAGGGCGCATTGAAGTGGCCTGGAGCTTCCATAACAAGGCCAGCACCTCCTGATCCAACTTCTCATCATCGCACAAAAGGCTATTTGTCAGAAATTCCTTCAGTGTCCACTGTTGACACTGCTGTCACTCTCTGCTCGAGAGTCCCTATCCCTGATGTGACAGACAGTTTAAAACATGCTTAGAAAGGCTGTCAGCCATCCTTTTGAGAAAAGCCCACCAGGACCCCGTTAAAAAACAGAGCTTGTAGCTGAAGCCGTTCTTGCCTTGATGACACATAGTAAGTGGCAGGTAATCCTCCTCCTAATCTCCTTGCTGCCCCACGAGGCTTATGGTAACTGATACCCCTGTGAATGCCAGGGAGTCTGATTGAGTTACCTGGAGAGGCCTGGGCTTCTTCCTGCTCCTTTCCTAATGGAATGTATTTAGATAAAGGCACCTTGAAGTTGGCCACAGTCTCCTGAGATGTTGCTCTAAAGGGAAAATTTGATTTTCCCTGAGCTGCAGCCGATATCACTTTTTGATTTTCCCTGAAGCATTTTACCCAACGCCTGGCCACTGCACACCTGTCTACAATTACAGCCTGGGGGGTGGGGCAGGGAGGACCCCTGGGGCTTAACTGCTTCCTATTGTGGCTGGAGCCTTTGATTCCAGGGTCAGAGCAACCCTTGCTGCTGGGGAATTTTACTTGCAAAATTCTTGACTTTTCCCACCACGCTCTGTAGCATGTACTGCTGCGGACACAAAGCTTTAATGGACCCGTTGGGATTGGAAGACTGAGTGGTTTGATTCAGTCATTTGTGAGCTTGTCCCTGCTTCCTGGAGCCTCTCACTGGAGACATGGAAGGCAGCCTTGTGGAGCAGAAAGAGCCCTGGATTGGTCCTGCCCTCTCCCCTCTGTATGACTGACTTTGTGGGTGACCTTGACCTGGTCCCTTCCCTTGGCCCATTTGTGAAACAGGGCAGCTTGGTTAATAGATCACTCAGGTTTAGGGGTGCCAGACCTGCCAAGCCCAACCTGAATTTCAAATGAACAATGAATAATTTTTCTCGTCTAAATTATGCTCCTTGCAATATCAGAGACGCACTTTTACTAAGATGTTATTTATCCAAAATACAAATTTAACTGGTGATTCTATATTTCACTTTCCTCATTCATGTTGCTTCTACCTCAAGTACTTGCTGAATCCATACTTTGAGATATGTATTTTTGGTTTTGCTATCCAGTGGCTTTGGTAGCCACAGGCAAGAGATAAGTGTGAAATGTCTGGATAATTCTGGAAATTTACCTTCCCTAACCTGGACTCAAGCCCAAACCCATGTCTTTGGAAACACTGTGTCATGACAGTGTCTTCAGTGCCTGGGACCAGGTAGATGCTCTGTGAGTACTGGCTGAATGAATGAATGGATGGCACATTTCAACCTTTGCTTGACCTTCGCATAATACATAGTCCCATTTAGCAGAGCTACCAGGTCTTTCTGACACATGCCCCATCCTTACCAGGGCACTTTGCCTTTGTTCAAGATAGTTCCTGCTCTAGGAGCCCACTTTCCTCAGATAGGGGCAGTGTTGCACAGTGGGCAGAATCATGAGCACCGGAGCCAAATGGTTTGGGCTTGATTCCTGCTTCTACCACTGTGTACCTTTGGAGAATTTCTTTCAATTCTCTGTGCCTCTGTTTTCTCATCTATGAAAGGGAGTAAACAATAAAACCTAATAAGACAGTTTTGAGGAACAGATGAGATCATGCATGGATGTCATTATTATTTAGAATCATAATGGTTCTTATGAGATTCCATCTGCAAATCCTAATCCCAACCATTCTACAAAGACCACCTCCTCCATGAAGCCCTCAGTGATTATCCTCTTCCCTATTCCACAGGTTAAAAAAAAAAATCTCTCCCCTTAGTGCTTTGGATACAAATGAACCGTGGCTATTTCTTCCCTGTCCTATAGATCATATATTTGTGGGAAGGATCACTTGGGTGTTTACTCATTGTCTGGTGCACAGAGGAGGCCCAAGGCATCTATGTTGAATGAGTGTAGTAATAAATCAATTAAGACACGCATTTGCTATGTAGGAAAAAATTCCCAGACAAGTTAGGGTACAGCATCATTATCATACCTAGGAGGTGATTTTATCTGATTCTCTCACCAACTAGCTGGGAGATTTGTGCAAGGAAAGAGGGAGGCCCCCATGTAGAATCCCCCCATGCAGATGGTGCCTACAGGGTCAGTCATGAAGGGACACGGCTTGGTGGGGGAGAGAAAATAGCAGATTGAGTCCAACAGATGCAGGTGAAAACCCGTTCTATCCTTTACAGCAGAGCACCTCCAGAACCTTCCTTTTCCTCTTATGTGAAAAGGGGTTTGGGAAGCTTCCTCTTAGGAATAGATGGGGGAGGGCTCGGGTATGGGAGAGAGATGAGCACCGACAAAGGGCTGAGCATAAAGGTGCTGATATGGTTTGGCTGTGTCCCCACCCAAATCTCATCATGAATTGTAGCTCCCACTATTCCCATGTGTTGTGAGAGGAGCCTGGTGGGAGGTGACTGAATTATGGGGATGGATGTTTCCTGCACTGTTCTCATGATAGTGAATGAGCCACATGAGATCTGATGGTTTTAATACTGAGAGTTTCCCTGCACAAGCTCTCTTTACCTGCCGCCATCCATGTAAGATGTGACTTGCTCCTCCTTGCCTTCTGCCATGGTTGGGAGGCCTCCCCAGCTACGTGGAACTGTAAGTCTGTTAAACCTCTTTTTCTTACCAGTCTTGGGTATGTCTTTATTGGCAGTGTGAAAACAGACGAATCCAGGTGCTCTACAAATGTTTAACTGTCCAGCATTGGCGAGGCCTCTGTGATACTGGGCCTGGGGGTGACCAGCTCCACAAAAGGCTCCTGTTCATGTCTGAGCACAGACTAGAAGGTGGGTCTGCAGCTGAGAGTCCTGATTCCATTAGGCAAGGATGTCATTATCCCAAAGGGTAAGGAAAACATGAAGCCCCAGCTCAGGTCCTGCAAGATGAGGACAGAGAAGAGGGAACATCTCAAAGTCACTGCCTCCCTTGTCCACACAGGTGCAGACTCAGAGGCCTAGGAGTGGAGACTCCAGCAAATTCTCCCTCCCCACTATGCTTCTCCCATGGCTCTGAGCCTGATATATGGTGTGCACATTCCCTACCCCACCAGCTACACACCCCAAGGATAAAGGTCATTCTGAGCTTCAGCGGTTTGAGCTAGTAAAGATTTTTATAAAAACTCACTGTCTTGATTTGTGTTCAAGTACTTTAAAGTTCACATATTTCTTCTTTGAACTTTGCTGGCTGCAGTCATTTCATCTGCAATCAGCCTGGATTGGTTCTGCTTATTCAGAGCCCATCAATTACCGAGAACTGGACTGGAGCTCACGCTGCCCATTCACTGGCTTTGCCCCAGGCTAGCCGATTTATCTGACATTTAATAAGGAGTTTTAGATTTTGCAGCTTATCAGGAGAGCACTTCGTGAGTGCGGGTGAGCTGGTGCATCGCAAATGAGTGGGCTGCTCAGGGATCTTTCTCCTCTTCAACCAGCTCTTTGTCACGCAACATTGCTCTGACCGTTAGGGTCTCCATCCTCCTTCTTCTGCTTCTCTCGTGCCTTTTTTTCTTTTTCTAAAATTGTTTTATGGTTGACATTTTAAGATCCTTCTCATGTTAAGAACCCAACCATGGGGAGAATCCGAAATCAAGCTCCGACATAGAGAAACTGTGGAATTGCAAATCAAGATGAGGAAGCTCTGTGTAATAATGAAAGTTCAAGTCAACCAGTAATGACCGTGGAGGTGAGGAAGACGAGATCTCTGCCCGAAAGGACAGGGCACTGTGGGGTGGGAGAGCTGACACGGCATAAATCATTCAGTCCCAGGCCAGCTGAGCTGAATGCTCTCAGAGAGGCATAAATAGAGCATAATGGGAATTTTCGGGGTAGGGGAGAGATTGATAATCTTGGTTCCTGCCTTTTAGTTGTGTCTTAGACAATGAATGCACATTCACACATTCGACCAAGTAAGGAACGCTGATGTTTTATTAAGCTGCTTTATGGTTTCCTCTGAATAATAAGACTAATGTATTAAACTTGTTTCTCCCTTATGATGGTAAATTCCATTTTCCTGGGCATATTTTTAATGTTTATCCTGCCTAACTTGGGTTCCCATCATTAAATCCTCCTTATGACAAAAGCTTCACTAAACATAAGAACACAGGTTGGACTGAGAAATCTGTGCTCTGGTCATCTGGAGTATTTTTGTGGGAAGAAGTTAATTCTTGCTACTTTCAACGCCATTCCTAGGGTTTTCTTCCCTGGGATTTTCATTAATATTTCAGGTCTTTTTACTCCCAAGTTCAATGTGTGTTTTCATATTGGTATATGAAAATATTTTTACTACCCTCAACAGTGGTGGCTATCCTTTTTTTTTTTTTTTAATTTAGAAACTGAATTCCAGGTTCTTCCACATGTTGCTATTATTATCTTTCTCTTCTGTAGCTTCTGCAAAATTGGCCCCCAAGATGTTCTCCTTCTGTCTTCTAGGGAGGTGGTTAAACATGCAGGGTCTCAGCAACTGAGATTCTGATCAGTAGGGCCAAGATGGAGCCGTGGTGGGTCCTATGCACGGAAAAGTCAGGGGACAAGCTCTGCTTATTATGCCTGGACAGCCCCATACAACCCCCAAGGTCAGTGCTGACTCCTGCAGAGGTCTCCCCAGTAAGTGTCAGATCTGTGGGTACAGCAGCTGCTGCAAAGCCCCCTTGGATAGCCCCCAAACCCACCCATGCCTAAAGGCAAACTCATCCTCTTCCCCAAGTCTTGTCTGCCCCATATACACCATCTCTGTGGGCATCACCTATGACACAAACCCCCACCTTCTCTACCATCCAGTCAGCTACTAAATCCTGAGATTCCATCTCAAAAAACATCTCATGCCTTCTGCTCACCTCTGTGTCCATTGCTGCTCCCCTGGAGTAGGCTGTCAGCATCTCTAACTTCAGCTGGTCAAAGTTCCCCACCCCACTCTTGCTTGGCTTACTTAATTCTCTACGCTAGAGGCAGAGGGATGTTCCTGTTTTCTAAACGTCCAATTCAGTCTTGCCATTTGTCAACCCAGTGGCTCCCATCGCACTTCAGATGGAGAGCTCCTCTCCATCACGGCTCGGAGGACCCTCATGCTGTCCGTCTCCAGCATTCCTATTCTCCCCTCTCACTGTGCTTCATCTCCCCTTCCTTACCTGGCACCCTGGGTTTCTTCCAGGACCTCACACTGCTGTGTACTCACACCTCTAGACCTTGCATCTGTTACCTCCCTGACCTAGCATGAAGTCCCCCTGCTTTACCTGCAAAGGAAACATCCCTTTCTTGTCTGAGAATCATGTCCCACCTCCCTAGGTCAGCTCCCCAGCTCCTGTCCTGGAGCAGCCTGTTTTGCCCTTAATATAGCACCTGCCCTCCATTATCAAAATTGCCTGTTGGCCTGGCCATTATCACTGGACCACACCCTACAAAGGCAGGGCCTATTGGTCTGGTTCTCAGTGATGCCAACAACCCTGTCATATGGGTTGAATCATATACACATGCTTTTTTTCTTTTTTTTTGAGCTGGATTTTCCTTCTTGTTGCCCAGGCTGAAGAGCAATGGCATGATCTTGATTGACTGTGACCTCTGCCTTCCAGGTTCAAGCGGTTTTCCTGCCTCAGCCTCCTGAGTAGCTGGAATTACAGGCATGCACCACCACACCCAGCTAATTTTTTTTTGTATTTTTAGTAGAGACAGGGTTTCTCCACATTGGTCAGGCCGGTCTCGAACTCCCAACCTCAGGTGATCCGCCTGCCCCGGCCTCCTAAAGTGCTGGGATTACAGGCATGACCTACCACACCCAGCCAACTTGCTGATTTTTGACCAACCGTTTTGAGCAACCACCTATAAAAATGACTGTTTCGTCTGGCTTAACGTAATACCTGTCATTCATAAATCTCAGTCAAATGAGAACATAAACATAGTATTTCTTTGTTTCAGTGAGAACGTCTTTGATTGTCCATGAAGCCAAAGTCTCTTAAATGGTGTGGACTTTTGAATGTACATGTCAGCTGGTTGCACGAGACTCACATATGGGTGTTAAAGATCCAACCGAATTCTTTTAAGATCCATGTTCAATATCACATCTCCCATCCCCTCGGATCAGAGTTCCCCACATGAGCAGCATCAGAAACTCCACTGAAGCGGGGCAGAGGAATCGTTTGAGGAGAATCTCAGAGAGGACTCATCTGCTTTCGTAGAACTTATACCACGAGATTAAATGTTCAGGGGATAATATTTCACAAGTTACATGTTTGCTTATGGAATATTTTTCCTCTAGTGAAAATATGATTTGTAAATAATTAGAAACACATTCAAACTTTTTATTTTCAAGATTAAACATTCCCAGTGGCCACAGTGGTCTAGGGAGATTTATTTGACTTCCAAAGATAAGTAATAAATTGCCTAGTTTCAGTTGCCTTTCTTGCCCTATTCCATTTGCTGATAACGTGTAGATCAGTGGAAGCATTTTTTCCCCTCAGATCTTAGTTAGCAAGAGGCTGCCATCTATAGATCCTTGACCCAATTACACACTGGTTTCAGAGACTGAAACAACAGGGGCATTGTAGGCCTTTAAAAGAGTTTTATACCTTTTAACTCTGAGGATTAGGGCTTTAGGTTTTTGATAGGCTTTTATATCTTAATTTGCTTTATTTCGCAAAGAAGCTCAAAGTGCTTATTGTAAGAAAGACATAAGAGTTGTCAAGCTTCCCTTTGTGCAGATGGAGAAACTAAGACCTACAGATGTCGGAGGACTTGCTGCCTGGTGTCATCCAGGACGTCGGGGCAGAGCTAGGACTTATACCCAAGCTGAATGTTTATTTCCCAGGCATCTCTGCCTTCCTGATTCAGCGAAACAAGGCTCTCTTGGCAGAGGGGTGCCAGCACCCACAAATGGAGTCCAGCCCAAGGTTGATGCCATAGAAGCTGAGTTTCCTCACCAACGCTATGAGAAGGTCTTCCATTTTGGAATTTTCCTTCTTTTTTTTTTTTTTTGGAAAGGGAGTCTTGCTCCGTTGCCCAGAATGGAGTGCAATAGCGCAGTCTCAGCTCACTGCAACTTCTGCCTTCCGGGTTCAGACATTTCTCCCTGCCTCAGCCTCCCAAGTAGCTGGGATTACAGGAGCCTGCCACCACACCTGGCTAGTTTTTGTATTTTTAGTAGAGATGCGGTTTTGCCATGTTGGCCAGGCTCGTCTCGAACTCCTGACTCAGGTGATCCACCTCGGCCTCCCAAAGTGCTGAAATTACAGGCATGAGCCACTGTGCCTGGCCAGAATTTTCCTTCTTTATAGCAGTAAGTGACTCTCCTTAGTTCTTTAGGGAAAAATAATGATGATAATGAAAATAACAGTAATAATTGTGGGGGGAACAGAGTTTATAATTAGTATTGTATTCATGAAACACTTTTGCATTTAGCAACAATATTATGGAAATAGCAATAAAGTTGTCTGCTTCTAATTAAGACAAAGTGGGAGGACCACACAACTTTAAAACTGTGTGTCCTACAGAAGCAAAGGGGTTTGGGAGCTCCCAGCTGCCCTGAAGTTTAAATCCACTATCCTGCCGGAGTAGAAATGCCTGCTCCCCACTTGCTCCGAAATGCCAGGCTCATCAGCAAAGGCCCACTTGTTCCTAGGGATTTGTGTCTTGATGCATTCTCAGAGAGAGGTTTCCAGAGAACCAGTCACCTGCAGCTCACCTGAAGATGACACATGGCATGTTGCTGTGCACCCCTCCCCAACCCCTCCCCATTCATGTACTCTCCCTGGCAACTCTTTTTTCCCCACCTAAAAGTTGACCTGAGATGAAACTTGCTAAGGTAGGAAAGATACTGAACACAGTTCGGAGGTGTCCCCCAACATGGTGAGGGGCCTATGGCCCTCACAGCTTATGGACAGTTACTCATGGCTACTCCTACACTCTGACCCCTCGAAGGACCAGAGTCCCCGGGTGGGTGGACTACAATAAACACAGGAAAACAGTCAGCACAGAAATCTCTGTTGTGGTGCAGGTAGGCATAGCCCATGGGATCTGGGCTTGCTCTCTCCCCATCTAAGAGAATTTCAGGTCCTTCGTGGCGACAAAGCTGTACTTGGCATCTGTGTCTCTGCCTTGTCCACAGATCCTCCTGCCCTCCGTGACCTGACCCATCCTACCTCTCTGGCCCTTGCTCCTGCCCCTGTCTGCCTGGTACCAGGTTCTCTCAGCACAGTGAGCTGAAGTGCCTGTTTTCGATGCCCCCCAGCTCAGTTCTGCCTTTGCATCTATTGCTCCCTCTGCCCCAGTAGCCTCACCTTGCCCCTGTATGCTCACCATATCCTATCCTCCTGCAGGACCCAGGGCCACCATCATTCCTCTAGGAGCCTTCCCTGGCCTCCCACTCCTACATGGAATTGGTTGCCTTTCTTTAAAGCTACTACCAGACTCCTGTGGGCAGTGCCTCCCTTTTGGTTCTTCCTGTCCTGGACTCAAATTCGGTGATGGTGCCGAGGTCTCTTGCATGGCACTGTGTCTTACAGGATAAGCACTGTGCGGATTCATCTTTCTGCTTCCAAGGCGGCGCTGGGAGCCTGCCATGTCTTAGGTGTTCCTGCGCGTTTAATGACTGAGCAAATGCATGCAGCAGCATGAACGCGCCCCAGTGGGCCTTTCTCAGCAGACACCGTACCGGGGCAGGGCTCCTTGTGCCTCACGATTTAACTTCCGATAGCTTAAAGCAGAGGTTGGCAAACTCTTTCTGTAAGAGTCAGAAAGTAGATATTTTACCTTTTGTGGGCCAGTCTCTGTCGTCACCGCTTAACTCCGCCATGTAGTGTAAACGCAGTCATAGCCAGTACATATGCTTGTGAGCATGGTTATTCCAATAGAACTTTTTACAAACAAAGGCAGAATGCTGGATTTAGCCCAGCAGGGATGGTCTGCCAATCTGTGGCTGAGGGTTTGACATGGAGCCATCTGCTCTGACTACAGGTAGATTTCCCATGTCAGGTGGCCTTTGTCTCTATGGCCTTCTTGGGGGATCCGGAGCAGGGCAGATGAGGATCTTACACTTGGCTTCTTCTCTCCTTTTTCTTTGAGCAGTCACAAGAAGGGTCTCAGAATCTTCTTCGAATCCTTGGGCTGGCTTTCTCAGTACTTTTTGGGTTCTGTTGCCCAGAAAACTGCCCCCAGGTGATTCTCAGAATGACCCATCCCCACTGGAGCTAGGAGAGATAAGCCGGGTGTCTTCTCTGGATCTCTCTGGTCTCCATACACCCACCAGGCAGGCTTTCTCTCCTCCTCCAACTCAGTCTTGATTTCCTTCCTGCACCTTCCCATGCAGCGCAGTGACAACCCGGACAGAGTCTTCTTCCTGCTAGCAAAGGCTGCATGATGACACATTGCCAAACATCAAGTAACAACAGCACTAACTTTTCTCTTGAATCTGCAATCTGCTCTACTTGGCAAAAACTGGCAGGGCTCAAAGACTGGGGGCTGAAATCCTCTGAAGACTCACTCACTATCTGGTACCCAGGCCAGGAAGGCTCCAAAGGCAGGCAGGGGAGCAGCTAGGGTCCCCTGGATGTCACTCTCTCTCTTTTTTAAAATGGAGTCTCACTTTGTTGCAGTGGTGCAATCTCTGGGCTCACTACCACCTCCACCTCCTGGGTTCAAGTGATTCTTCTGCCTCAGCCTCTTGAGTAGCTGGGATTACCAACATGTGCCACAACATCCAGCTAATTTTTGTATTTTTAGTAGAGACAGGGTTTCGCCATGTTGGCCAGGATGATCTTGAACTGCTGACTTAAAGTGATCCACCCACCTCATCCTCCCAAATTGCTGGGATTACATGGATGATCCACCGTGCCCAGCCCTCCCCTGGGTATCTATCTCTGCTAACTTTCTGCATACCATCTCTTCAGGATGGTGGCTTCTGGACTACCTATTTCCTAATGTCAATTTGGGGATCCCAAGGCGCACGTCCCAGAAAAGCCAGGAAGCCTTGTTACCTTTTATGGCTGCTATGGCTTGAATGTGTCCCCAAATTTCATGTGTTAGAAATTTAATTCCCACATTCAAATACTGATTGAAGGTGTGGACTCTGAGAATTAATTAGGATTAGGTGTGGTCATCAAGGTGGGGCCCCCATGATGGATGTTAAAAGCTTAAATTACAGCAAACCACGCCTGTAATCCCAGCACTTTGGGAGGCTGAGGCGGGTGGATCACGAGGTCAAGAGATCGAGACCATCCTGGTCAACATTGTGAAACCCCGTCTCTACTAAAGACACAAAAAAATTAGCTGGGCATGGTGGCACATGCCTGTAATCCCAGCTACTCAGGAGGCTGAGGCAGGAGAATTCCCTGAACCCAGGAGGCAGAGGTTGCGGTGAGCTGAGATCGTGCCTTTGCACTCCAGCCTGGGTAACAAGAGCAAAACTCCATCTCAAAAAAAAAAAAAAAAAAAAAATTACAGCAAACCTAGTTTTTTAGCTCTCAATTGGCTTTTATTTGTGATTCTAGAATTGGGCAGTAGTTCTGATCAAAAATAGTTCATCACGCTTTGCCCCACCACATGTTCAGGTTGTATTTATAGCCAGAGTAGAGGAAGCGATGTGCAGAAAACAGAAGTAAGGTACAGAGATAGCCGACTGGTTACGGCCCCCCTCTGTCTTATTTAAACGTGGTTTAAACTGTTGGCTGCATATGGTTGGCTGAGACTCAGCTATTTGTTCTTAAGTCAGGTTTTTAGTTTATTTACATACCAAATTAGGTTGCAATTAGAAACTCACACAGAGGGCTCTTTGTGCCAATTTCAGTTTGATTTAACATGGGACTCATGGCTTTATGGAAAGAAGACAGACCTGAGCTGATGTGCATACGCATGCTCTCTCAGGGTGTGATGCCTTCCACCATGACACAGCGGAAAGGTCCTCCCAGGATACCTGCCTCTTAATCCATGAGACATCAATGTATTTTCTTTATGGATTTACTAATTCTCTGGCATTTTGTTATAGAAACAGAAAATGGACTAAAGACAACAATCTAGTCTCAGAAGTCACGTGAGATTCTTATAGCATATTCTATTCATTGAGGTAGTTGCAGAGTCCTGCCCAGGTTCAAGGGAATCACAATGGACTCCATATCACAATGGGAAGGGGTGATCATCTGGAAGAGCATGTGGGTCCATTTTCTGGGATATCCTATCTGTCACATTCCCCTTCCTGGACCACTGCCATGTACCTGGGACAAATGAAGAAATTCAGGTTTAGAGAGAATAAGCAGCTTATTTACATAACTCTTCAAAAGTTACTGAGCCCAGGTCTGTCTGGCTTTCAAAGTCCTCCCCACCTTACCCTGAGTCCTTCTCTGCTGCATAGTAACCAATAGTTTAGGTGCCTCCATTGTCCTCAGGTCTTTAGGCATTCCCTGTTCTTTGATGATAGAAACACAGATACATTCTGGTAGAGTCTACAGGACATGAAACTTGGGGTCTGGGCTTCCTTCTCCAGCTGGGCTCAGCTGTTGTTCAAGGTGGGAGGCAGCAACAGTGATGCTGGATGTGACACGTTTGTTAATTCACGTGACAGCGATGAGCTGGTAATTACGCTGGTGTTGCACACAGTCTCTAACTCCCTTGTGATTCCTGGTGCAGAGTTTGATTCTCAGGAAGTCATTGTCCACAAGGAAATCTGAGAAGCCAGCAGAACAAGCATCAATGGAGGAGCAACTTCAGCATTTGCTCTGCTCTTTTCTCCAAAGCAAACTGATGAAATCACCACCCCAAATCCTATTGTCATAAGGAGTCTCAGGCTGGAGTAGGATTCCTCACTAAGGGGTGGGCCAGCGGATTTGTAAGTCACCAGAGTTCATCTCAGTTTATATGTTAGCTTTCTGATAGAGGCCAGGTTTTCATTTTAATCTTATTTTCAGTAATTTTTTTTAGTATTTTAAACCTCTCCTAAGAGGTTCAGTCTTCTTTACTTCTTAAATTA